TCGCGGGAGGTTCATTACCATAGACCTGCTCTGCGCATCCCAGCGGTCCTTAAAGGAGCCACGGCAGCATCTGAGGGGCCCACCCGGGCCCCTGTGGGCTGCCAAGGACAGGGCTCTTTCTGCGTGCTGGGGCGGCTCCAACGGCAGTCTGTCTGGCTCCGTCAAGCCACCAGGGGAGAGGCAGTAAAGCCTAGTGGTCAGAGAAGGGGCCCTGGGAACCAGGATTCCTGGATTCCTTTCCCAGCCCCCACTACTCAGCCAGGACCCCATTTGCAGCAGAGGGATAAGGGGGTGTGGGATGCCGGGCTAAGACTGGCCATAATCCACAGAGATGGGCTGGGCAGAGCTCTGCTCTACACACCATCTCTCTCCATCTGCTCACACTGAGCATCCACCCAGCCACTCTGTTTGGCCTAAGCCTGGAGAGGCTCCAGGCAAGTGAGGTTAGTGTAAACAGACAGGGAGTTTGGGGTCAGTGTGCGGGTGTGTATAGTGTGTTTGTGTATGTTTGTGTATGCCCACACTTTGTGCATACACAAACACACTACACACTTACACTACACACACACACACCCCACACACACACATTCACTGTGCACTATGCAAACTGTACACCCCCCACGCACACCCCACACACACACATTCACTGTGCACTATGCAAACTGTACACCCCCCCCCACACACACACCCACACACTCCCTTTCCAGAATGAATGCAGCAAAGCAGAAAGGAAACACCGCACAGTCTATGATCTCCCAACTAGCCCCCAGTCCACTGATGCACGGGCAGCCAAGTGATACCAGGGGAGGCTAAATCAAGTGCCCCACGCCTGTGACCGAGCCGAGTTAGCTTCAAAGAGGCTTGTTTGTTTAATGGCCTAAGTCAGGGCAGCCTAGAAAAACTCAGTGTCACTCAGCCTCCCCCACTTCTTCTGCCAGCCCCTCCCCTTTGCACCAGCTCAGCATTCCGTGTACACTGGCCAGGGAGCAGCTGGGCTCTCTAGCTGGGGGTTTTCAGAAATAGATTTTCGAAGTTATTGTGGCGTCTAATGAACAAGGCACGTTGCCAAGCTTGGATCGGAGCCATTTCCCAGCCAGGCACCCCAGCATGGGCAGGGCCTGGCACCTTTCTGGCAAAGGGTGAGCACTGGCATATGAAGCATTTTTCAGGGAGTTCCATCCTGTTCCCTCCCCCCATTTACACCAGATGGCTGAGAAGGGGATTGGGCCCGATGAGCCAGTCCTGATTTACACGGAGCACGTGGGATAAGTCGGATCTCCCTGTGCTAAGACCACTCCGCTTGCTCTGACTGGGGCCAGGCTGCACGGGCAGGGGAGAGGGGCCCGTTCACACGCTACCCGCACGTGGGGGTCACCGGGTGCGCAGGCACGGGGGGAGGGGGCGGAGCCAGCCCTGGGTTAATAGTTGTAGCTGCAGCTGTCCTTGGTAAGGGCCCCGCGTCCTCTTGCTTCAGGACGGAGCCGCCTGCACACGCCCCGCTGGAGCCTCTGATCCCAGCCCGGCCCGTGTTTCCTGCAGCTCGTTGAGGGCAGGCTCAGGGACCGTCCCCTGGAGCTCGGGAGCGCAGCAGCCAGAGCGCGGCCCGCGGCCGGGCGCACGTTGCGCGCGTGTGTTTTGCCAGGACCCCAACCTGGCTGCACCTGCGCACGGCTCGGAGCGGGCGTGTCCTGCGCCCTCTTAAAAGGGCGATGCCGGGATCGTTGCCCCCAGCCTGGCCTCCCCGAGCTCCTGGTGCCAAGCAGCGGCTGAGTTCAGCTCGCCAAGCGCGGCAGACGGGGCAGGTGCCTGGCCGGCCGGGGGGCATCTCCCCGCGCTCCGGCTGCAGCGACCCCTCCCTCCTCCGCGCGCCAGAGCCCCAAGCGCCCCGAATTCAGGCCCCGCGCTGCAGGCAGCCGGAGGACGGAACTTCCCCAGATGCCGCACCAGGGCCCTGGCAGGGCAACTTTTTACTCGCTCCTGTGGGGGCGATTACCTGATCGCAGCTGGAGACGCGCTACCTGCCACCAGAGACAGATCCCACAGCCTGGGCCGTGTAATCGTGTTGTACCAAATCTCCATTGCAGTTAGCAGTACAGGGCCTATGACACGCAGCAGGAGATGGCAGTGGAGACTCATGTACACCAGCCAAGCCAATGGAGGTAACTGGGAAAATACTACATCCTTCCACCACCTTTCTTGCCCACTTTTCAGCAAAAGCAGTTTGCTACGTCTACACTGCAGGCTTCTTGCACAAGAACTGTTTTGTGCAAGAGTTCTTGTGCAAAAATTCTTGTGCAAGAGCACGTCCACACTGCCATGTGCTTTTGTGCAAGAGTGCCCATGGCAGTGTGGATGTTCTCTTGTGCAAGAAAGCTCTGATGGCCATTTTAGCCCGTCCACACTGCCTTCTTGTGGGGAGAGGAATAACTCTTGTGCAAGAAGCCCTGTTTTCTGACACTTTATTGTAAATTTACTTGTGCAAGAACACACGTGCAGTGTAGACTTTCCACAAGTTTTTGCACAAGAACGGCTGTTCTTACGCAAAAAGCCTGCAGTGTAGATGTAGCCTAGGTGTGCTGGACTCACCTACCACTCTCAGGGTATGTCTACACTACAGCGCTATTTCGAATTAACTTAATTCGAAATAGTCAATTCGAATTAAGCTAATTCAAAATAACGCATCTGTACACAAAAACTATTTCGAAATAGGACGTCCACACTGAGTAGACCCTGAACCGAAGTTAAGGCTGGCCGGAACCAGTGCTGGCAGGGCATCATGTTGGGACTTAGTGTGTGGGGCTGCTGCCTCAGGCTAACTGAGCTCTGTGCCTACCGCCATCCCGGACAGACAGTTCTCAGGGTTCCCCGCTTGCTTGTCTACCTCGATGAGGGACAGCAAAGCAGTCCTGACTTGGAGTGCCCTGAGTGCCCGCACTTGGGACATCACAGCACTCAGCCACATAGAGCCAGAGCTGCCCTGGACATGTATCTCGTGGGGTTGTTGCTATCAGCCCGGCTGCACTTGCTGCAGGCTGCCATCCGAGGGGTCCATCGGGGGGCTGTCAGGATACAGGAGGCCCTGAGGGAGAGTGTCCACCCCGAAGAGTCCTGAGAGCCTCCCCGGTCCTCCCCACCAGGGGCTCGTACCCCATTCCTCCCTCACGTCCTTCCACTTACCCCTCCTTAGCCCCCCATTCCTGATGTCAAATAAAAGACACGTACGTTCAAAAATAGAAACTGGGTTTATTGAACAAAACTGGGGGGAGGATGAACCTCTGGGGAGACTGGGAAAAGGAGATGGGAGAGGGGAAGAGAGAGGGTGGAAGAGGGGAGGGGGAACCTGGGAGGAAGAAGCTGGAAGTGGGAAGCAAGGGGAAGAAGGGGGAGGGGAAGCTCAGGCTCAGGGTGGTTAGGTCCATAAAAGGCTATTAGCCAGGGGATAAAATGGTGTCCTTGGCCTCTGTTTGTCAGAGGCTGGAGAGGGATGGCAGGAGACAAATCGCTTGATCATTGTCTTCGGTCCACCCTCTCTGGGGCACCTGGTGCTGGCCACTGTCGGTAGACAGGCTACTGGGCTAGATGGACCTTTGGTCTGACCCAGTACGGCCGTTCTTAGGTTCTTATGGTATGTTCTTATAGCTAGTTCGAATTTGGCGTTTCTCCTCGTGGAATGAGGTTTACCAAATTCGAAATAAGGGCTCCACTATTTCCAATTTATTTTGAAATAGCGGTTTGCCTGTGTAGACGCTATTAAAGTTCATTCGAAATAACGGCTGTTATTAACTTTGTAGTGTAGACATACCCTCAGGGCCCCTATTTTTCCAGGTCTTGCTCTCTCCAGTATCTCCTCTAATCTCGGGCTAATCAGATACTGTCCAATCCCATGCTGAGATCCACGCAAGCCTGGGTTCTGGCCCCACTGCCCTCAGATCCCTGCCCTGCCTCAGTTCCTAAGGGTCCCTTGTGGGGACGGTAGCAAAGAGCTGAGCTCAGGTGGCCACCTCATCTGCTCACTGCTCTGTGGGGTTCTCAGCGGGCAGCAGGATAAAGGGCTGATGCAAAAACTACTTTTAACTCCTGAGCTGACGTTTCCAAGTGACCGTCCTGTTAACTGGGGCCAATTAACTTTGGAGCAGCTTCCTGGCACAGTGTGACGGGCCCTTTGCAGTGCTCTGGCTGTCGTCTGTGTCCAGCCTTTGTCTTTGGGCTGTGAGCCGAGAGTTTGGCACGGAGAAGGTGGCAGCTCAAGTTGAATGGAGGGACTGTGGGAGCCACAGATTTTCCAGGCCAGCTCTGCAGGGAGAGACGCCCATTGACTCCAATGGTGCCACGTCCCAGCTGAGGCGCAGCCTGTCT